CCCTAAAGAATCTTCTTTTATAAAGAAGAATATTGCAATATGCTCTGAATAGATGTTTAAAATCTCTCTCATAAGTTCTGGAAATCTCTCTCATTGAAACAGTCGCAGCTTGACAGCCCTGCAATAACCATTAAATATTAAAATAACATTAAAGAGCAACTGCTCAACTCATGGATTTAGCTGCAAAACTCCTTCTCACACTAATGGGACTCACATTGCTAAATCCCCATGTGCTGTACAGAAAATTTACCCCCAAGGATCCAATGATCAGACACAGTCAAGAAAATGATGAATGTACTTTCAAAAAAATAATCGATCTGCTACCAAACAAATTATGATTATTCATGGAATTTCAATCACATAATCATTCTAAAAGACTAACATTCAACAGCATCCAATTTTGCATTCATAAAATATATTGATACATTTGTGATGTGATAAAATTCATATTTCTACTGCAAGATAATTTGGATGGTGTAAAGATATTTATAAAGTTATAAAAAAAAAAACTCTCATTTACAAAAATCGCTTAAAGCCAAAAACTAATTCTAAATATTTTTTATGTGTACTATTTCTGTAGACATTATCACCATAGTGCTTAAAATTAAGGATTGTTTTCTCTTGTTATTGATATACATTTAATGTAAAAGGAAAAAAGATATTGTAAGTAACTAATATTGCTAATATTTATAATTTTATGGAGATCTCAATGTCTCCAAATTACACCTTTTAAGAAATTATAGAAATTTTGACATAGTTGTACATCCGAAATATAACTATTCATGTTAACTATCCAGGAGGCAGTTACAAACTGTGAAAAAACAGTATGTTTAATGGAATGTATTCTAGACAAAACTTTAGTTTACCCCAAATTTAGCTTTCCCAAAGGTCAAACTAAGACAAATCACTTAAATGCTCAACACCACAACTTTTTAGCTATGAAATGAAAATGGACCTGGGGATGTCTATGTCTGTCAGTTCATGATTTTTTTTTGCGACAGGTAATTTGATATATATTGAGCCTTGTTCCAAAATTTCCCGACCTTCAGCTCCATCCAAACACACACACATATACACACATGTACACACAAGTATAAGCATAAAGAGGAGAAAGAAATTTTTAAACTTTTTATAGGACTGTGGTACAAATACATCTATAATAGTCTGTGAAATTTCAATTTGTTAATGTCAAAGTATTTACCAGCATTGAAAGAAGCCTAGAGAATAAGAAAGAGGGGTAGCACTGTTTCATGGCAAAAGCACCTAGATGGAAAATTTGGAGACCTGATTGTATCACTAACAAATTCTGTGATATTGGACAGATCACTTTATATCTGCAAATTGCAGTTTATTTCTTTTTATGATAAAGATTCTCAACAAACTAGCTATAGAAGGAATTTGCCTCTACATAATAAGGACCACATATTAAAAACCCACAGCAAACATGACACTCAATGGTGAAAAACTGAAAGCTTTTCCCATAAGATCAGGAATAAGAAAAGAAAGCCCCTTCTTTCCACTTATTTAACATAGTACTGAAAGTTCTAGCCAGAGTAATTAGGCAAGAAAAAGAAAAGATGTACAAATCAGAAAGAAGTAAAATTATCCTTGCTTGCAGATGACATGATTTTATTATTATTTATTCAGTAAAGCCCTAAAGACTCCACATAAGAAACTATTAAAACTAATAAAAGAATTCAGTGAAATGGCAGGATATATAATCGACCTGCAAAAATCAGTTGTATTTCCATGCACTGCTAGCAATGTATTATCTGAAAGAGAAACTGAGAAAACAATTCCACTTACAATAGCATCAGAAAGAATAAAATACTTAGGAATACATTTAATCGAGGAGGTTAAAGACTTATACACTGAAAATTACAAACCACTGATGAAAGAAAATTTAAAGACACAAATACATGGAAAGACATCCCAAGTTAATAGTCATACAGAACCACAAAAGGGCCAGAATAACCAAAGCAATCTTGAAAAAGAAGAGCAAAGCTGGAGGCATCACACTGTCTGATTTTAAAACACGTTTCAAAGCTACAGTAATTAAAATAGCATGACAGTGGAATAAAAACAAATATATAGACCAACAGAGAGCCCAGAAGTAAACCCATGCACATACAGTCAACTGATCTTCAACAAGGATGCCAAGAATACACAACAGGAAAAGGATAGTCTTTTCAACAAATGGTATTGAAAATACCATTTGAAAATTGAGCCCTTTCTTATACCATATATAAAAATCAGCTTAAAGCAGATCAAAAATTTAAACATAAAGCCTGGAACTAAAAATCCTAGAAGAAAGCATAGGAGAAAATCTTCTTGACATAGGTCTTAGAAATGACAAAAGCACAAGCAAAAATAAATAAATAAATAAACAAGTGGGACTACATCAAACTGTAAAGCTTCTGCACAGCAAAGAAAATAACAGAGTCAAAGGGCAACCTATGAAATGAGGGAGAATATTTGCAAACCATGGATCTGAAAAGGAGCAAATATTTATAATGAATGCCTGCAACTCAATAGCAAAAAAAAAAAAGCAATCTGATTTTAAAATGGATAGAGGTCTTGATTAGACATTTTTCTAAAGACATACTAACAGCCAACAGGTATATGAAAATATGTTCAGTATCACTAATCATCAGGGAAACACAAATCAAAATCACACACTCCAAATCTGTTAGGGGACTGCTATTACCAAACAAAGAAAAGAGTAAGTTTTTGTCAAGGATGTAGAAAATTCAGAACACTTGTATACTTGTGGGAATGTAAAATGGTAAACAGTGTGATGGTCCTCAAAAAAAAAAAAAAAAAACCTAAAAATAGGACTACCATACGATCCAGCAATCCCACCTCTGGGTGTATATCCAAAAGAACTGAAATCAGGATTTCAAAGAGACAGCTAAACTCCCATGTTTACTACAGTATTATCTGCAATAGCAAAGACATGGAAACAATCTAAGCATCAGCAGATGAATGGATCAAGAAAATGTGGTATATACATGCAATGGGATGTTGAAAAAGAAAGAAATATGCCATATGGGACAACATAGATAAACCTCTAGGACCTTATGCCATGTGAGTAAACCAATTCCAGAAGGACAATACTGCATGAGGAATCTTAAATAGTCAAACTTATAGAAACAGAAAGTAGAATGGCGGTTGCCAGAGGCAAGGGGAAACGGGGAGTCGTTCTTTAATGGGTTAACATTTCAGTTATGCAATGGACTCGTGAACATAGTGGGGAGGGAATGAGTGGGACGAATGGAGAAAACAGCATCAGTGTATATATACAGTGTCTCGTGTAAAACGGGTAGTTGGTTAGAAGCTGTTGTATAACACAGGGATGCTGACCTAGAGGAGTGGGGGCAGAGGGAAGGGAGGGAGGCCCAAGAAGGTGGGGATACATGCATAATTTGCGTGGTTGTATGGCAGAGGTCAACATAGAAAAAACAAGAAATAATTTTTAAAAAGGAAAAATAAAGTTACTTCCAGATCTTAAAAAACTGAATAAATTCTAGAGATATGCTGTACAGTATTGTGACTATAGTTAACACACTGAATTGTGTACTTAAAAATGTGTTAAGATGTTAAGTATTCATACCAAAGACCTATATTTCTCAGGAACACAGATTCTAAAACTCCAAATTAAATTTTAATATATTAAACTTAACAATACATAAAATATATACCAAAATATATCTCGATAGAATGGAGTTTATCCCATTCATGCTGGTATAACATCTGAAAGTCAATCGCTACGTTACCATATGAACACAAAATTTTGTTTAAAACCCATTTGATAATGACCAGTTCCAACATCAACAGTTTTCAAGTTCCAACATTCATTCTCAATGTAAACTCTTAACATACTAGGAACAGAAAGGAACCTCCACAATCTCATAAAAGGTACCTTTTGAAAAGTCAACAGCTAACATCATACTTAATGGTGAAAGACTGAATATCTTCCCGTTAAACTCGGGACCAGTAAAAACGTTTGGTTTCACCATTTCTATTCAACACTGAATTTAAGGTTAAAGTCAGGGCACTAAGGAAGTGAAAGGTGACACAATTGAAAATGAAGTAAAACTGTGCTGATCGCCTATGTCGCAAGTGGGACGGAATCCACCCTGGCTCGGGGTGATCCCCAGACCCAAGACTTGGAGTTCAGCCCCATTGGCTGCTGCCATTTGCCCCAGTTTGCAGCCATCTGTATACCAGGCACCTGTGGGAATTTGTCCCACTTTATCTACCCGCCCCAGGGACCCCCCAGGAAGAGAGGTGTCCACAAACTCTACAGGACCTAATGGCGCCCACATTGCTAGTGCCGGTGGCCTAGTAAGCGGGGTGCTTCTCTACTGCCCCGAGGCAACGGGGCAGCCTGCGCCAGGGCAGGGGTGGCCGGGAGCCACGGCAGGGGTAGCTGGAAGGGAGGCTTTGAACAGGATAAACTGATCCTTCAGGAGAGTCTCTAGCGGGAGGAGCGCTGTGTACCCGCCCAGAGATGGTGCTCCGCGGGGGTAGGGCAGTTTGTGCCCCCTTCTAGAGTGGGACCAGCATCCTAGCGGCCCTCTGGCCTTCTGCGGCCTGTCACGGTGCCCAGGCCACAGCGCCCGGGGACAGGGACGCGTCAAACTTGAACAGCAGCCGGCACCCTACGTTCTTCACCTTAACACCCGGCTCTGCCGTCTTCTCCGCCAGCCCCGAAGCTGGCAGCGGACCACCCGCACGTCCCTCTCCACTCAGCTCTTCCGCCAACCTTCTGACCTGAGCTCCGGCCTCCAGCGGGGCATCTGGGGCCCGCGACCTGCCCACCTCGAGGCCAGCCGCCCACCGCGCATGCCGCGTCCCTTCGCCGCCGCCGCGCGCCACGTGCGGTTCTCCCCACAGCAAAGAGCATCAGACTAGGATGGTCCACAAGCACCTAGCTCACGGGCCGCCCCGTCCCCACATGGAGATCCACGGCTCGGCCGTTCCCAGAGGCGGCAGCTTTAAAAAGCAAGGGAGCTCACCCTAGGAGATGCGTCTTCGCGGCCAGAAACAGTAGACCTCCGCACCTGCCAGAAGTTTTTCCAGCGGTCTTCACCCGGTTCAGGTGTGAAGGCCACGCGGAAGGTCCCAGCATCGCCTGACGATCTTGAGGCTGGTTCCCTGAGGCTGCTCCCCTGAGGCTGCTCCTGGGGCCGGGAAGGCAGGCAGGACCCGCTCGCGGATCCAGCTCCGGGCCAATCACTCATGTCCTTGGCGTGACCTCCTCCCACAATTACTGATACGTGAAACAGCACGGATGAATCACGAAGTAATTAGGCTCCGTTCAAGAAGCCGAATAAATAAAGAGGAGTGGGAAGGAGGAATAACAGAGGGGCATGAAGAAGCTTTTGGAGGCGATAGATATGTGCATTTCTTGACTAACTTAATAGATATATATATAAATATATGTATATGTATGTATATACGTGCCTGTGTGTGTCAGATGTATCAAATTATATAATTTAAATGTGTGCCATTTATTGAATAGTAAATACTCCTCAATAGAGCTGTTTTTTAAAGTATGATAATATTTTTTGCCAAATAAATAATTACTAGTGGGTACTATTTTTCTTAGTGCTTTCTCATTTTTTTTTGATCACAGCAACCAAGAGAGTTGGCTATGCTGATTATTTTTATTATATTATTGTTGCACACTATCATTATTATATGGTTGGTCCCATGCAACAAACGATTAAGTCAGAGGCTCAAAGGCATTACCTTGCCCAGTGTCAGAAAACCTTTGTCAGTAAACATCATGTTAAATTCTTCTCATGTATACAATTTTTATTTGCTGTTAACTTTATAACATTTTTATTGAGATAATTGGGCTTCCCAGGTGGTGCTGGTGGTAAAGAAGTGCCTGCCAATGCAAGTTAGAAAGAAGAGATGCCGGTTTGATTCTTGGGTGGGCAAGATCCCCTGGAGGAAGGCTTGGGGACCCATTCCTGTATTCTTGCCTGGAGAATCCCATGGACAGTGGAGCCTGGCGGGCTACAGTCCATAGGTTTGCACGGAGTGAGCCAAGGCTGAAGTGACTTAGTACACAGGCATAGTTGATACACAATGTTGTGTTAATGTCAGGTATATCGCAAAGTGAATCTATTATACAAATGCATATATCCATTCTTTTTTTTAGATTCTTTGCCCTTATAGACCATTACAGAGCACTGAATAGAGTTCCCTGTACTATACAGTAGGTTTTTATTTTTCTATTTTATTTATAGTATTGTGTATACATTAGTCCCGATCTTCCAATTTAACCTTTCCTCCTACCTTACCCTCCAGTAACCATAAGTTTCTTTTCCACATCTGTAACTCTGTTTCAGAACTTAACTATTGTAGATAAGTTCACTTGTAGCCTTTTTTTAGATTCCACATATAAGCAATATCATATGACATGTGTTTTTCTGTATCTAACTTCACTCAGTATGAGAATCTCTACCTCCATCCATGTTGCTGCAGATGGCATTATTTTTTTATGGCTGAGTAATATTTTATTGTATATATGTGCCACATCTTCTGTATTCATTCCTTTGTATCTGTCATGCTGAATTCTTTAGAAGCAAATGAAATAAAGGGCAAACCTGACTTCATTACAGTGGTCTTCAAATATTGCCATCTGTGCCTCCTTACTGTCCCCTATTACAACACTAAGAGAGTCTCACTAAATGAAATAGTCTACACCATTCTCAATTCCCAATCTCCCCAGAAATGTGAGGTAACAACATTTCAATTTGCACTGTTCAATGTGGTAGCCACTCATCATATCTGCTAAAGAATATGTAACTCATCCGAATTGAGATATGGTATAAGATACAGTCCAGGTTTTGAAGATGTAAATATCTCATTAATATTTTTATAATGATGACATGTTGAAGGGTCTTCCCAGGTGGAGCTAGTGATAAAGAACCGCCCGCCAATGCAAGAGATGTAAGAGATGCTGGTTCAATCCCTGGGTTGGGAAGATCCCCTGGAGGAGGGCATGACAACCCTCTCCAGTATTCTTGCCTGGAGAATCCCATGGACAGAGGAGCCTGGCGGGCTACAGTCCCTTGGGTCGCACAGAGTTGGACATGACTGAAGCGTCTTAGCAGGCACATGACATGTTGAAACCATAATACTCTGGATATATTGGGTTACATAAAATATACTATCCATTAGTTTCATCTGTATCTTTTTAATTTTTAAATGTGATTCCTAGGAAATTTTAAATTACATGTGTGTCTTTCATTATACTTCTGTGGACGTGACTGATCTAAATCCTACTCAAAAAAGCAATGTTATACATTTTTGTATGACAGTTTCAAAAAAATGATGAACTTGTGTTTTAATCATGGAGAGATCTTGCTTCAGATTTATAAAGGGTTGACCTCTTACACTGTTGGTGGGAATGCAAACTAGTACAGCCACTATGGAGAACAGTGTGGAGATTCCTTAAAAAACTGGAAATAGAACTTCCATATGACCCAGCAATCCCACTTCTGGGCATACACACCGAGGAAACCAGAATTGAAAGAGACACGTGTACCCCAATGTTCATCGCAGCACTGTTTATAATAGCCAGGACATGGAAGCAAACCTAGATGCTCATCAGCAGACAAATGGATAAGAAAGCTGTGGTACATATACACAATGGAATATTACTCAGCCATTAAAAAGAATACATTTGAATCAGTTCTAATGAGATGGATGAAACTGGAGCCCATTATACAGAGTGAAGTAAGCCAGAAAGATAAACACCAATATAGCATACTAACGCATATATATGGAGTTTAGAAAAATGGCGACGATAACCCTATATGCAAGACAGAAAAAGAGACACAGATGTATAGAACAGACTTCTGGACTCTATGGGAGAAGGCGAGGATGGGATGACCTGAGAGAACAGCACTGAAACATGTATATTATCAAGTGTGAAACAGATCGCCAGTCCAGGTTGGATGCATGAGACAAGTGCTCAGGGTTGGTGCGCTGGGATGACCCAGAGGGATGGGATGGGGAGGGAGGTGGGAAGGGGGTTCAGGATGGGGAACACATGTAAATCCATGGCTGATTCATGTCAATGTATGGCAAAAACCACTACAATATTGTAAAGTAATTAGCCTCCAACTAATAAAAATAAATGAAAAATAAATAAATAAATAAATATAAAGGGTTGAAAGCTCTAAGTAAGATGGTACTCAGGGATTCTATGGGGATACTTGAAAAATTAGCCTAGGTGTAATAGAAGATGATGATTGGAAGGGAAAAGTGGTACAGCTGTTTGGGAACTCATAGTAGGCACTGGAAAATATTCAATCAAAATTCTACTTGAAGAAAAATAGGCCTAAGCATGGTAGGGAACGATCGTTTGAAAACAAAAAGGGTACAGCTGACGGTGAACTTACAGTGCTGTGTGTGTGCTAAGTCGCTTCAGTCGTATCCAACTCTGTGCGACCCCATAGACCATAACCCACCAGGTTCCTCTGTCCATGGGATTCTCCAGGCAAGAATACTGGAGCGGGTTGCCATGCCCTCCTCCAGGGGATCTTCCAGACCCAGGGATCGAACGCATGTCTCTGTGGCTCCTGCATTGCAGGCAGATTCTCTATTGCTGAGCCACCAGGGAAGCCGAACTGATAATAAGTGGTAGAGAATATTCAATCCAACCTCTAAGTTGAGCTTTTGGGTTAGTTCCTATTCTGGAACGCTTTGGGTTACAGCGTAGCATTTTGATGCGTCAAACCCCAGTGGATGTTTGCGGCAGTTGTGGAAATGGAGCCAACCCAGAGCTGCCTGGGCCCAATGAAGGACTTAACTGTGTAACTATCACCAAGGCAAGACTTGGGGCGGCAGCTGCAGTTTTTGATTCTGTGGATTAAAAGCTCGATCTCCTCCGAGACTTTTCTCTGTGCCAGACTCTGGGGCACCATATTGCTCTCTCTACTGCTCTGTTTCTCAGTCAGCTAGAGGTCTGTCACCTCGTAGAGATTCGTGCGTCAGTGAATCCTAGAAGCCCTTCCTGGATCCACTGCACTCACTCTTCCTGAGTCAGGTGGCTGTTTGGGTCCCCTTGTGCTGGCAGAACTGCTGTCATTAATTATATTAAACCCAGCTCATGTAAAAATACTCCAGAAATTGCAAAGCATGACAAATGTCGCCGCAGCGGAGCCAAGTCTTGCAGGAAAACCGTGTTCTTCCAGATTCTTTCCTCTGGAATGCCTCGTGCTGCCATGTTAACCCCCCTCCATAAGTGAAATCTCTCCTTTTTGATGGGTATCTTCCTGTTGCAGCTGCTACAGATTCAATATATAGCTTCCTTCTTACCACCTTCTGAATTTGGAATCGGTGGAACACCAGACCCAGGAGTCAGACAGATGGTGAGAGAATGTGGCTTCAGATGAAAGGCTCAGGAATCTCCCTAATACTTCACCTATGAGTGAGACACCCGCACAGTCATGGATCGTGCTGGACAGTGAAAGCCTCCCTCGAGTTTAGCATGAAATGAGCGGACCAGAGTGCAGACATCCTAAGGCATCTCCCAGGAAGGAAAGAGCACTCAATATGGCACTCAGCTGAGCATGCTCAGTGAGGTCAACCAAACTCAAAATAAAATGAGCCTGGGGGAGTGCAGTGTGGGGAGCAAAGCGGAAGTCACTCTGCACAGAAGCATTAGGCCAGGAACATGAATGCCCTCCCACCCCTGACTCTCTGTGAACGCACTGATCTGCACTTTGTCAAAGATGTGACAGGTGTTTAGGGCTGTATCTGCTAGTACTTGGCATACAGACCTGTAGAATGGATTTGCCTTCTTCCAAGTCCCATCCATTCATTCTAATCACATTGGGTTGGCCAGAAAGTTCATTTGGGTTTTCTGGAACAGCTTCATAGAAAAACCTTGAATGAACTTTTGGGCCAACCCAGTATTTACTCAGTGACCGTTACGTGCACAGCACTCTTCTAGGTGCTACTAGGTGGAGAGACAGACAAAAACCCTGTCTTCATGAAACTTATATTTTAGCAGGGAAGATTGAAAAAATAAATACGTTCCCACACCCCATGGTGCAGGGCTTTCTTCACCTAAGATGCTCTATGAGAGCATTCAAATTTGGAGACAAGTCACAAAGCAGAATTTCGTGGAACCAAAAATAAATGTTCTCATCTCTTTTACTCTTTTTAAATGGTCCAAACAGACTAATCAGAATGGAGAAGTGTATTTAACTCAACA